TAGATTTGATTGCTTTCTGTAATGGCTTGATGTTGTATCACAGTTGGTCATGGTCCATTTCAGCTTAATGGTGTGACTTATCCTTTTGATACTGTTACTCCTCAGTTACTTTGAGGCAATGTTCCGCTCCTTCATGCCCGTGGACGGTCAAGTAAATATATCCATTGGTGAGATGGTCCCGAGTAAGCAGGCCTTTGAGTCGATGCTGCGTTATATCTACTATGGTGACGTGAACATGCCTCCAGAGGATTCCCTGTATCCTTTTCAATTGTAGAGTTTTTTGGGTTTTTTTTTTTAACTTTAACATTTCTGCAAATATAATTAAAAATGAAATGAGTAAAGATAGCCTAGATAATAATAATGATTAATCAATTAATTAATTTCTGTCTAAAAACAGACCTCAATACTTTTCTTCTGTTCAGGTCCTTAAAAAACACAACATATTCCTACAGAGACATTTGTATCGAGTACAGTTTGTATCACTAACAGTAAAACTGCTGGCTCGTCACAAAAGAACTCAATATTTAACATAAAAAAGGTGTGAACTTTTTATCTGTAAGTTAGAAGATGGTGATGTTTAAGTTAAGAGTTAGTGTTGGTTAATGTTTATAAATGGTTTATAAGTAGATAAGTTCAGGGACACAATGAAATAATTCATAAATATGTCAATGCCAGAAACAAAATAGGGCCTAAAATGTTTCTGTTATGGAGTTGTTAAATTTGCAGTTTCATATAGTGAGTTTCTAAATCACACTGAAGCTTTTTCGAAAATTAAGCCACATGGGTTGTCAAAGCACCCGGCTTTACTTTTTGGTTAACGTGAGTTTCATTGCGGTAAACTTGGTTTACATCCTTGACCCTGGATTAACAGCTATCTGTTTGCTGCACCATATTACTATGGGTTTTCTAACAACAGGCTGCAGGCTTACTGCAAGCAGAATCTCGAGATGAACGTCACTGTGGAGAATGTCTTGCAGGTATTGTGCTTTCTCCCAGGGGGAGCAGTGACCTAATTGGACAATGCAGTCCCTCACTTTTGAACAAAATAAATCATTTCTTCACTCACTTCTCTCTCGCTATCCTCTCTCAGATTCTTGAGGCAGCTGACAAGACCCAGGCTCTGGACATGAAGAAGCACTGTCTCCACATTATTGTCCACCAGTTCATCAAGGTGGGTGGGCTTGTATCCGAAGCCCTGGGGGTTTGCTGCCCACTCACTGCAGCTGAGCTAACCCTCTAGTCCCCTCTTCTTTGCGGGAGACTGACACCTTTGGCCTCTTAGTGGATCACCCTCCATCTTCTGCGTGAAGAGGAGACTGTTTACAGGCTGGCCGGCTGTACAAGCACCTCATCACATTGCGATGAGGTGTCGCTCTGATTATTGTTTGTTATCCAAAGGAACAAAGAAGCACTCAGTTTTAACTTTACTTCACTGGAGTGTTAGCTCTGCTGTATTTCTGTTAAGCTTTTATCTTCTTTTTATCTTTTATCTTCATTTTGTTGTGCATGAGCAATCAAGTGCTGCTTATTCCCCATTTTTGACTCATTGTCTTATCTTAATTTGCTGTTCTTTTTTTCATTTTTTTTGTTCTCCTCCCCTCCCAAAGGTATCCAAGCTCCCCAACCTGAGGTCTCTCAGCCAGCTGCTGTTGTTGGACATCATTGAGTCGCTAGCCACACACATATCAGACAAACAGTGTGCCGAGATGTGCTCCGATATTTAGGACGGCTCTTTTCTACTCTTGCAGAAGCCATACATCCCTGCTCCACCTAATCATTCCTTGCATGTGTCATACCCCATTCAACTGATGCCTTTTATCCACACTGTATCGAGTTGCTATTGTTGTTGTTGTTGTTGTTTGTCCCTCTGCATCTCAGCGAGGAATGAAATCAGTGAAGGAACCAGATTGTAGCTAGAATTGTTAAATAGTGTAAAATTATCTTTTCATGTATAACTCTGCTTTTATTTATTTTGTACAGACAGACCTTTTTTGCAAAGAGATTATTCTGCTCACTGTTGCTTTGGCTTTTTTTTTTTTGATAAATATACAGGTTACTGTATATTTTCACAAGTGTGACAATAGAAATGGATTCAATTTCATCAGATGTATCATCTCAATAAACCATCACATCTATTAAAGTCGAATGGGTTATTTATCTAAATCTCTATTCATTTAAGTTTGTATTATTTACATATGTCTTTTGCGGTAAAGAATCCAAATCATATGAAAATAATTATAATATATCTCTGTGTTAAGTACTGTTGCTGGCACATGTCTTTGTGATAATTCTTACCATTAACAAAATCTGTGTATCCTACAATACTGAACTTAGTATTTAGTGATATTATTCTGTTATCATGCACTTGAAGCCTTAATAAATCTCTTACAGAATGAGTCATGTGTTCTGTGCCTGTGCTCTGATTCACCAGTATACCAACGTGATTGAAGTTTGTGCGCAACCATTTTGTCAGTTAATCAATAAACACAAAGGAATGTGTCAAAAAACTGAAGTTTTTCTGAAACCACAGAATTGATTGATTTAACCTCTCTTTAGAAGCTATTGTCACGTTGTGTTATCACGAATCTTCTGGGCTCTAGATTCGTGATAACACTACACAAAAAGAATAAAGTCATCTGTTAGAGTCTCTAACAGATGACTTTATTCTTGAGCCCAAACCTAACTTTTAAACTGCTTTTAAATCCTACAGCCATCTGTGCAAAGAGCCGATAACTCCATTATGTCAGCTTTGCCTAAAACTACAGCATTGGCCATCCTCACTGGCTTTATGCAGGGACCATACTAGACTGGATCAGCCGGCAGGTTGTTTTGCTGTTTTTAGTGTTTGGGGTTAAAGTGGGGCAGCAGTCCTCATCCAGTCCAGCAGTATAATTTTTAATTTTAAACAGCTGATGTTTAAAGTGAAATATTCAAAGACACTTTTGTTGGCCTTACTGGTGCTAATCTAAAATTCAGACTACTGTTGCAAACTAAAGCCAGTGCAACTTAAACACAGTGTGAAAAAGCTGAAGGTCAGACCTTGACCTTTCATTAAATTAGCATGTCCGTCAGGGGTCTCAGTTTCCACAGATCCATGCATGATAAGTTCAGACAACACTCCCTGGTTTGAGCAGATGAATTCCTTTTAAATCTGCAAGGTTTTGCACTGCAGCGATTTTGGTTTACTCACGTGATCTAAATTAAATTAAGTGGTTTAATTTTAATTATTCATTTGAGATGTGTTATAGGTTCTTATGTATGTACTGAGGTCACCCTTAATAATCCCAGTATGAGATGAATAAAACTAAAAGAAAAGTATTTTCTGAACATTTATAGTAAATTTTGTTCATGGGACTAAGACAAAATGTTTGTCCTAAATGCAGAGGCATTATATTGGTTTTCTACAAGGTGGCAGTTGTACTGCAGGATCTGTAACAACCCACAGAGGAATTCCCAAGGTGCTGGACTCTTTTGGACTTTTGTATTGCTGCAGTGAGCACAAAGTGCTATTCATAGTAGAGATACTTGAGAAATTTTGCAAATCAAAATAAATATCTTAAACAAATAATATATAATCAAAAACGAAAGACCATACCTCACCTAATTTTGCTGAAACGTTTAAAGTTGTACTGAAGTTCACAGTCACGTGAAACAGTAACTTTTATGTCTTTCTTTTTCATGTGCCCCTCATGCACAGGTTGCTCGTTTCATTCAAGTTGACTTGTGCAAACACACGGCCCAGAATCCCTCTGCTCATATCTGGTTTCATTTAAATACAGAGTTCGTTGTTCACTGGGATGACATTGAACACTGAAACCAAACAGTATGGCCGTTGTTATGTGGTACGAGATTTTCTCCTACTTATCAGGTGCATTTTCTTAAAGAAGTAAGAAGTGGGCCGTCCAGGTCTGTCCAGCAGGTGGGACGAGCTACAGAGCCACTTGGATGGCTTACCTAACTTTACTTAGATTTGGACACAGAATCACAGCACAGACTTCACTGCACAAAGGCAGAAGATGGTTTTTCTAACAGCTAAAATGATGCAAAGGACCGCGCTCTTTGTGACGGTTGGAGGCTTGGTGACATCTCTGATCACCACCTTCCTTCCACATTGGAAAACAATGAACTCTGATCTCAATGAAGTGGAGAACTGGTTCTCTGGGCTGTGGCACACCTGCCTCTACACCGAGGAAGTGGGAATTCAGTGTAAGGCCTACGATTCCATCATGGGACTGCCGTTGGACCTACAGATCTCCAGGGTGCTCATGTCAGTGTCTATTGGTACTGGTGCTTCAGCTGTACTGGCTGCTTTCCCGGGTCTGGAGGGGGTTGAGATGTGTATGGAGCCGCCTGGTGTGAAGAGAAGGCTCCTCATCTTTAGTGGGGTGCTGTCCTGGGTGTCTGGGCTCACTACTCTGGCTCCTGTGTCTGTTGTGGCCTATACAACTGTGGTGGACTTCTGGGATGAGGGTTTTCCTGATGTGATGCCACGATGGGAGTATGGGGAGGCGATGTTCTCCGGATGGTTCGGAGGACTGGCACTGGTCATCGGAGGGACTTTGTTCTTTGTAGCTGTGTGCATGGGCGACTACGACCGGCAGACATCGAGTGTACCAAACAGCCCACAGGTGAAGCAAAAGACACAGCACTACCTAAAGACAGAGGTTTTATAACTTGAATATTCCCATATGTGTAATATCTGCGTGTTCATGTACGTTATATGAAAGCATGACAGCCTGTGAAAGATTACAGTAGTTCTACCGAGAAGCACAGAAGTGTTTTTGGGGCCCTTTTGTTTTTTTTTACTGGAAATAAAACTGGAAATAAAACTTTTTTTTCTGTGATCTCTGTTTAGAAGAAAAAAATCTGAAGCAACTGTGTGCGACACATTTTATTAAAACAATGCGAGACAGTAGATGACTGCTGTAGTTTTTATTCTTGTTAAAGCATTGGAGGACAATTTATTTAGTAGAACATACACACCATTGGAACCTCACTTAATGGTATGGTAGCTAGTCAAAATAACATTTTGGTTGAATTACTCATGCATTAGTTATAATGTTGAGTGATGTGTGCAATAAGCGCACAAAAGTATGTCATAAAGTTTCAAAACATCAGAAAGGAACCTACTAGCACCATAATACCGATTTATTAGCTGAACTGAAAGATGAAGAAACTTAAAGAAACCTAAAATCAGCACACTAAACAATAAGTAAACAGCACTCGGGTCGGTAATGAAAATGTCCCACATTAGTTGTGAGCAGAGTCTGAGTGCTCACTGCCGTGCAGGAGTGAGTAAATGAGCAGGGGTTGCATTCTTGAGCTGCAGCTCCTCTGTGTTGAATTTCATTTCATGGGGAGGGGGCTTGGTGCCATCAGCTCCTTTTAGAGCTTAATGTACTCTGTTGCTCACTGTTTTTGTCAGAACTGATGTAAACTGTTTTGTTTTATTTCACCAAAAAAGGACACTGATGTTTCTTTGGCTGGGCGATGTACGTTATTAGCATTTACTTACCGATTGGTTAAAATCTAATTAACAGGTTAAATCTACCCCTGATAACTGCTGGCATTAATATTTTGGCAGAGCATTTGTTTTATAAGCCATGAATGATTCATTCACTTCTCCCTGCTCTCTTGATCTGGCTTTTTAGATACTGCAGCTCTCTGTGACCCCTGGCAATTCAATTAAACTGAGTGATGTGTCAGTGATGTCAGATGGCCTTCCCTGCACACTGGGCGAATCTGATAGTTCTTCTTGTCGTGCATATCCACACGCCCCACCCTGGCTTTCACTCAAATATGCTTTTTCCATCAAACAAGAGCAGTGCGTGTGCACCTGTCAGCTGTCAAACATCAAATTAGTCCATGTGGAGAGGGGAAATGATCTAATATGATCTCTATTCTTTTATAATATGTTTTGTTTTGTTTTGTGTTTTTTAAAGTGAAAGCATTAGCATTCTGAAAACACCATAAAGGTTTTGGTCCTGCATGCTGATCATCACCCGTGTCACTGCTGTCACACACATTCATTTCCATAGAAATGAATGTGTGGAATGACCTTGACCCATCTCTCCCACAGTGGGAGCATAAGGAATGGAAATAACTCAAGAGCTCATTTCTATAAGACTTAGTAGGCTATACCTTTGTAATCCGTCTCCATGCTACCCCCTCACTGAACCCAGGATTTACTGCAACAACTGCACTTTTAGGCTTTCTTCCTCTGCTGCACACACTGATAGAAGTGTAGCATTCACACAGCGCGCGCGCACACACACACACGGTAAGTGCACCTTCGGTGTTTATTTTATGTTCCCTGGTGGTCAGTGTAACTGCAATAAATCCAAACACTGGTAAGTTTTAACAGCAGATGATGCTCATGGAAGCAGCATTTACAGGGAGCAGCCAGTGTAATAGGTGGGCAGTCATTGGGGCAGTGCTTTGGGGAGGGTAGTTAAGTCTTTGATCAGGTTTAGCTGGCAAGTCAGGTCTTTGACATTTGAAGGCGAGGCTGAAAGGGTCTGAACAGAAAAGCAAGCCTGGCGCGCGTGCACTCACACACACACACACACAGAGAGAGAGAGAGAGAGATAGAGAGAGAGAGCGTGTGTGTGTTTAGGAAAGAGAGAGGAGGGTTGGGTGGAGGAGAGCAGGGAACGGTGAGAATTCATGCTGTGTTAGCATCCCCTCAGCAACTCCATCAATACCGCATACAGCTGAGAAACTGGCAAAGGTCCTCCGTGCTGCGTTTTCAGGCTTGGACTGCAAAAGAGAGCAACTCCCACGACCGGTCGGCTCAGTGTGCTGCTCTTGCTGCTCCTGCTGCTGCTGAGGGGGACTCTGAGAGGGGCAGAGCACACACACACGTACACTCACCCACACACTCACTCACTCACTGGAGCCTCTGCTGCATCAAGAGGAAGAAGAGGAGTGCGGAGGAGGGTACGGAGGGACACGCAGACTGGGAATACTAGAGCCAATCCGGAGAGGGAGAAGACTGCGAGGAGACCCGTGCTAATATGCTGCCGTGGTCCGCAGGGACGGCTGAGCACCAGGGACTTTGACAGGATCTCAGTGCACCTGCTCCATGCACGCGGGTAAGACCCTTCACATTCATTTTACACCAGGGACTCAGAGTTTGAGGTAATTACTTTATATGTGTTTATGTGATGCTGTGTGTGTGTGTGTGTGTGTGTGTGTGTGTGTGTGTGTGTGTGTGTGTGTGTGTGTGT